ATTTTTATAGATGGAGTAGACGACTTTCAACTACTTGACGGTCGAGATTAAGGTCGACCTTGCTCCTATTAGCCAATTTAAGGCGAACGAATACAATTTTATCTTTCGTTCCACGCAAATGCAATATTGCTATATCTCACCAAAAATATTAGCAATTTTCCGTATGTAGGTAACGCTAATTATAATCGTGGTCAATTGAAGTTGTGGTCAATTGTCATATTATCCACTATTAGAGGGCGGGTGTTCTTATATCCGACCTGCTTATAATATTTTTGGGATGATTTGTTATCTTTCTCATTTCACTAGTCATTTAATTTTACTACTTGCAAAAATGTGCCGTATATTCACAATGAAAATGCCCAGCGCATTTTCTCAATAGCAACAAGTACCATCTACACTTGGTTTCTCTTTTCACATCAGAGGTAAATTTGTAATAATTGTAAATAAGTTATTGCTGTATAAAATAAAATTGTTATATTGGATAATTAGTTAGTTAATAATACTATCAAAATAGAAATTCCAGACCAATAAAAGTTTTTTTTCGGGGTCACAATACAATTCACAGATTCACAGAGCAAATTCACGTTACTGGTACATTTCGAGAGTACTTTATTTAAACACTGTCACTACTCCTCCAAGACTGAATCTCTAGATGTGCCACTGTTTCACATGCTACCCAAAAGGATAGATTTCAGTTAAAAAGGCTGCAAAGTGCATTATGTTATTTCTGTTTAAATTATTAAGAAACCTCAGAGCATTTTTGGGCATTGGTTATAAATTTTTTGGCATGTATTTGTTTTTTTCCAGCAGGACTTCATCTCATCTTTTTCCCAATTATAGATTTCTTCCTTTAAGTCGTTTTTAAAAACCGTGCAAGAAGATAGTAAAAAAATATTAACTGCAGATTTGCTGGTATCATCCTAACATCTACAACATTCGAGGAATTGTAAACTATACCATTAACTACAGTATCAAAAAAAAGTAAAATTAAAAGTGAATTGCCCAACAACCACGACAATGATAAATACTAATGAAATGACAAATATTGATATAAATGACTGTATCCTGGAGAAGGTTATAATACTTGGAACAAATTCTTCACCTCAACTAATAAAATCAGACAACTAAAATTACCAGGAAAATTGATAAAATACAAAAAAAAGAAAGAAAAAAACAAATAACAAAAATTCTTCAATACCTAAGAATAAATGCGTTCCTCCAGTTATGAGATACACATCTGGAGATAAACCAGTGAAACCTGAACGCTGACTAAAAGTAGTCTAGATAAAATTGTTAAATCAGAAAGATCTATGGAGAAAGAAATCTTGGGAATGAGACTGGTCTACGAGGAAACGAACATATAGGTCAGTCAGAATTATAACAAAAGTACCATCCATACACCAGGGAATACGTTGCAAAAAAAAACACACGGAAAAAAATTATGGGTATATAATTTTCAAGAGATATGACAGCTAAATGACGACAAACAGTGAACACAAAGAAAACGAGCGACAATTAGAAGAAGTCTATGTCGAAAATTTAATAATAAGTGGCCAAGGAAGAAAGTAGATAGAAAAATACTTCCGCTGTTCTTTCCCGTATTAACCTACATATTTTTCATCTGAAACAGTTATCTGTTTTATTATATTTATACTATATGCAACCTTTTCAAATTCGCCCTGTATTTCAGAAACCAAGAGGGCAAGAACGAGGGTATTGCATCTTTAATAAAAAAGCAGTACGGTGATGGGACACCCTGTACATACAGTTCCATTGTAAACATGCATTTTTAAAAACTACGAAAATATTACGGTTTTACCGCATTTCGAGTTGATTAGCGTGGCTATTTGGAGGGTGTTAATTCATTAGTAAATCCTAGGTTTAGCGCGCTTATCCTAGGTTTTACCGCGCTTATCCTAGGTTTTACCGCATTTCGGACATTTATAGTAATATATAGAGAAATTAGATACATATTAGAGAAATACAAATGATTAATTTCATCACAATAATGATAATATTTAATCTAAATTTAATTTAAGAATTAACAGATATTTAAATATATGGGAATTTAATTAATTTTTAAATAGTCAATTATCCTTTACGACGTAATCATATTTGTACTACGTATAAGCATTCCCATTTTAGGAAATGACTATGAAACCTATTGGTTTTTCCTAAAACGCAAGATTAGTGACTTGCTTATTTTAATATAGCGAGAAGAATAGTAATATAGCTAGTCACGTTAGAAGAAAAATAAATATATTAAGAAAAAATATAATATATCTAAAATATCAAAAAAGAAGGAAAAATAATCGGCGTAACCCTCAACAAACTCGTTACCATAGTGTAAACTGCTACATTAGTGCAACTGCCTTCCAGCATCATCAGTACAGTAAGGAATCACTAATCAGCAAACGATGAAGTAGATCCCAAGAGACAGAAACCAGGAAGCATTGAATGAAACCTTGGAGACTATACGAACTAATATGAACCTTGGAGATGGAGAAAAAATGAAAATGAAAGGAGCAAACGGAAGCCTAAAGCTCCAATTTGCAGCCTAGAACCAGATTCGCCCAATATTGTGGGTTTCGTCCAGAACACCGGCCGAGGTAGGCAATAGCAACTAGCAACCCACTGCAATACCCTTAGCCGAGGAACGATATAAAATAAAAGTTAAAATAATGAGAGGAAATATTCAAAAAATATGGCCTTTGAAAGAGAAAGCCAAATGAAAGAACACTAAAAGCCACGGAGATAAAATATTTGGAAAAGAGAGGCCTGGAAAGTCCAGGAAAGAGAAAATACCAAATAAATTCATTAGACGCCAAATGGAAATAAAACGCGACATCCTAGTCATAACCTCAATTAATACCAACAATTAATATAGTATGTACAAAGAATGGAAGAACATCGAATCACAAAGAAGGGTAGAAGCAAAATAGAAAACCACGGAAGAGTTGGTGGCATTGACAAAAAAGTTTTGTACAGAGGTCTGATGGAAGTGGATGGATGGGGAAATATAGAGAGATGAAAATTAGGAATCGGGAAGATTAAAAACGTTGTAACCGGATTATGTATACCGGATGCGTCTCAAAAGTTTTGGTATGTTAGTATACGACATAAATTAGAATTGATTCAACTGTTTTCGATCACTTCCGGTTTCACCGGAAATGACTACAACTTTTAATTTTTAAATCGCACCTTTGGTATTTTTTTACTTTATTCAATAGAAAATGACACTCCGAATAGAATGAAAAAAATAAAAAAGTTATAGGGGTGAGCCACTTTCGAGACGGACCCGGTATACATCAAATATTATCAACTATTATAACAGGGTTTCTCTAAGTGTGATTCATTAAAAACAAGATAGAAGTTTATAGCTGAATGCTGAATAGCTATCAATTTTCTTGAGGTAGAAATTGAAAGAATATACCAGCTACATGAGGTAAAGCAAATCTTGTTTAGACCCAATATGAAAATTCGTCTGAGAGTAAATTTTAAATTTCCATATTTGTTTATGATTAAAAATCAAAAAACAGAGAATATCTAGCTACGCATAGCGTAGCTTGATATTCTGTGCTTTTAGGTTCTAATATTCCATTGCATATGATATAAGTAAATTAAGATCCTTTATACGAAATAAGTGGTATTCCTACCAAAATATTACATTCCATGTTCTATTAAGATATGTTTAATACCAATATTACTCCTTGATACACAGCACAGTAAACCGAATTTAAAAGTTACCCTAATGAAAGTAAAATAGTTATAAACATTATTGCTCTCTTAAGTGTCGCGGTACCATTACTGTGTACCACTTTAATCATACTTTATCTTATTTATTTTTTCAGCTAAAGCATTGATTAAGAAACTAAATACTGAGTTAAAAAATTACACATTAGCAAAAATTGCATGCGCTGTGAAATGTTACTGTAACTGATATAAACAATATTTTTTTTTGAAATGGAATGCCTAATACATTATAAGTATATTATATATTTTTATAGATATTTAATACATATTATTGTCTCAGTTCATTCGAGGTTTTAAGTTAGACATGCTTTTTTTTGAAGATATACTTAATTAGCTGTTATTTTTACATACTATTTTTTAGTCGATAATTGTGACATTTAACAGAGTACAGGTATGGGATTTCTGGTACCTAATACTTAAATTAAACCCTATTTTTTTTTTAATAAATGTTCTAGCTCGAAACTTTAAAGCTTGTTAACTGTGGGACAAAATAAAATGCTAAAATACTGTACAGGGTGGCTCGAATTCGACGCTCATCATTGGGATTTCGGAAACCGTAAGAGATACAGGATCGGTTAAATAGAGGCAAAGTTGCGCAATTTGATGCTCAATAAAATGGCGTATTGCATTTTTATTTTTTATTTTTTTTTTGCATAAAATATTCTGGTGATGGAATTTTCTGTACGAAACGTCGGCAAATATCAAAGTGACAATATATATAGTGTTTTAAGAGTGATGAAAGGATTTAATTAAATTGAAAAAAAATCAGGTCCGTATTTAAAAAAATTAAGTTGATGATGGTCGCCAGAAGCTGAAACGTCAGAGTCAATATTTAATCACACATACTTATAGAGCAGAAAAAGTGGCCAAGAAAATGTGTTTTTCATTTGAAGTTATCTTAACAAATCAAGCCAGGAAACAATAGAAAACGAAATTGAAAATTCCGTTTTTTTTTCGAATATATTCCGAATTTTTAAAAATGCAATGCGGCATTTTATTAAGCATCAAATTGCACAACTTTGCCTCCATTTAACCGATCCTGTATCTCTTACTGTTTCCGAAATCCCATTGATGAGCGTCGAATTCGAGCCACCCTGTACACCTTAAAAAGAAAAATAATTTTTCCATAATTAATTCAAAATTATTCACTTGCTTCTGCCAGAAATATATTAAAAAAGCTAACATAATAAACTTGTTAATAAAAAATAACGGGTACTAATAGAACGCATCCGGCATACCATACTAACCTTTACGATAGTGCTATCACCAAAATACACAAAGAAACCACTCAAGTCAAGGTACCAATTCGTTTTCGGTAAAAAAAGGGTTAATCGCCGAAAAACGTCCAATTTTCCAGTGGGAGCTTTTTGATTTTTGCGCGCCCGGCACAGATTAACGATCACGAATAAACAACACGAACAAGAAAACAACGCAGTAGACGGCGGTACGGCGGTACGACCGTGTCTGGACTGACCTTACCGCCAAAGGATCTTTCTCGGCCCGCATTGGTCGGCCCCAGTGAAAGTGAACTATCTGGTGTCGAAGTGGACACACACGATACGTTTTGCCGGATGATTGAATCAATAGTGAGTTGTTAAGCCTGCTGCTAGGAACCAGGACACATTACAACATTTATAAGATATTAACATCTTCTATTCGTGGACCTGCAGAGTAGAGGCATACGACAGCGTTCCTCTTGTGAAACTTTGGGAAGCTATATGGAAAAACCCAATATAAACGTGGAGCTAATAAAAGCGGTAAATTTAAGCAAAAAGTTATATACAGGGTGAGTTTCCTACGATGTTCTCTATGGGTATCTCGGAAACTACTGGAGATAGAGAGTCGGTTAAATGGGGAAAGAATTGCAGTTTTGTGGGGTCATAAATATTCGCCTTTCAGATTTTTGAAAAACTTCATGGCTTACTAGATATTTCGAAAAAAACAAATTTCGGCTATTTTAAAAATTGTCTCTAATTCCATTATAAGCTATTTTAGACAAAAAGTTTTCAGATAAAAGTTGTAGATAATCACATCCTTAATGAGACCGTGTCATCCGTTTTTTTTCTAAAGCCTGTCATTTTTGATATATGACACAAACATATATTTTTTTAAATGGAAACCATAGTTGGCCATGACTTCATAAAAAGCGCCATTTTTAAGCTTTTCACCGATAAAAACTATAATATGTTTTCTTCGAAAAATTACGAGTTATAGCCAATTCTTATCATTTTTAAAAATTTTACTTAGTTAGCCATGGAAACAAGTTTAATCGTCTTTGCTCTCATAAATGTGAAGCTGTCACATCCAATCTTTGTAAATTAAAATAAACAAAAATTGTAAATATGAATTTTTCAAATGAAGAAAAGCGTGTAGGATTATTGGTTCAACCTTTCTTGGCCATACATTTTCGAGGATACGTTGACCGGTGAATGTTACGTTTTATAGAGAACGGCTTTCAAGACATGTTAGAAAAGTTAAATTTAGTTATAGCCAATTCTTATCTTTCTTGACTAATTTCACTTAGATTGCATGGTATTCTTATTCTGTTATGATTTATAACCTATAAAAAGTCAGAATATATTACTAAACGGTTCTTTACAATTTACATTATACAAACTAAAACTTAAAAAAATAATATCACTACATACACTTTAGGTTATTTTAGAAAATGTTCAAAAAATCCGCCATTGTTATGAGTTTCATCTTTTTAAAACTGAATTACTACTTATTCTTATAGAAGGACCGATCGACTTAATTAAACTTTTCTCGTACCGCCACTTCAAGTACCTCTCTTAATTCATAAGTTCTTTTGTAAACCCTTATTGTTAACTATACCACATAAAAAATTCTACAATGGATAGGTTAGATGATCGAGGAGGCCCATGCAATTAGTCCACCTCTTCCTATCCCTACGTTTGTATAATTATGATATAAATAATTTTTAAAATTTCTTTTATTATGAAGGGTGGGGAGTGGTGTGTCATACTGAAAGTCATGTTGGAACCTCTCTATTGATGCGAGAGTATCTACATGCTTTTCTTCATTTGAAAAATTCATATTTCCAATTTAAAACGTTAAACACGATTTAATGGAACAGTAATTAAAGAACGAAACCAACTTGGAAGGAATGCTATCACGGTATTAAATGGGATACTGTGGGACAGAAGCATAAACAACAGGAATAAAACATTAATATACAGGGTGGTGACAATTTCGATGCTCAATATTGGCATCTCAGAAACTACGACAGATACGAGGTCGGTTAAATGGGACAAAATTGCGTAATTAGACACAACCCCGGTATCTTGATTAGTTTCGGATTTATGTCAAAAAAATTAAAATAATACGTTTATTTTAAACGACAAAATCTTCAAAACTGTTGTATCTATTGCAACGTAAGTTGGTAGTTTTATATTTTTAACCTCGGTTTGGTTCGGTTCGTATAAATCGATATAAAGATTTTTGGAGAAGAGCAGCAGGCAAATCAAGACTGGAACGAATATCTAATGAACGCATAAGAGAGATTAGGGAAGATACAATAGTGGGCAAGATAAACAAAAGACAACTCATACGGTACGGGCATGTCCAAAGAATGTCAGAAATAAGAATCCCAAAGCAAATCATAAACTTGAAACCTGCAAGAAGAAGGAAACCAGGTAGACCGAGAAGAATTTGGCAGGAAGGGATTGATACTTTTATGGAGGAAGGAGTTCTCGGAGACGGTGCATGGAGAGACAGACAAGCATGGAGAGATGGCATCAGAAGACGTAGAATGTTTTAAACCGATTAAATAAGTGATAAGATATTGAATCTGGACTATAGTATAACGTCGATAAACTTACAATAAGTCGATCATCTCGAATCAAGTTGTCATACGAAGGTTCCTGAACGTCTAGCATATAAACTAGCCTCGACGAAGCGGCCACACTGTATTTAGTGCACACCTAAATCTGTTAGCGACATAATTTGATCTTTTATCAATTCAATAGTGATATTATCAATAACAGTGATATTACATAAATCATAAACACCATTTCATAAGTCTTTTGACTGGAACAAAAGCAAAGGCATGGTTTTAAAAATTGTGAAAAAAATGTTAGTGTCTTTTTCAAAAGCCAATAAAAATAAAGCTATTGAGATGAACCGAAAAACAAACTAGCGAGAAAAGATGCACCTAGATGATAAAATGATTTTCAAATTCCTTGCTTTTTTAAGATATTCCACAGGGTGTTCCAGACTTTCACCAAAATAACAACATTTTGTGTTTCCTCGTATAATTGACAGATGGGAACTTTAATTTTTAATTTCGAAAGAGACACTAAAAAGTAAAATAATTTATGTACAAATTGCATAAAAGATCAGAAAAATCAGTCCACTAGAACACAACATAATATAAAGGTGCCCGTTTTTGTTACCGGTGAGTGTAGATTCAATTATAGCATATATTACTAATTAAAGGAATCATTACGAATACATAAAAATATTTTTATAATAAAAATACTAATCCAATATTTGTTAACTGCTGATACGTTCAATTAAGTTTCGCAACTTTGAAAATATTAAAAAAATCAGTTCATTCTCTCGTGATATCCATTAATATCATGTGACAAATTTAAATATAAGCAGGCGAAAAGTTCTAAATTAATTTCATGTCGTAGGTAATTATTGAACTATAAACATACAGAATTGTTTCATATGACATTAACGTTTCCTTCTTATAATTACTAATTTTTATTTCGTCTCAAGTTCAGGAAATTTATGGCAAATAAGAAATTCTGGAAAGGAAACATCTTAGATTGTATCAAAAAATACGATCAAGAAAGGTAAGACTTAAAATTAATTTAAATACTCTTATCTAAATAATTTTAGTAGACTTAACTTCTGCTAGATAAAAATTATAAATAAACAAATAGATATTTTAAAATTATCGCATGGAATTAATGACTATTAAGAAATACACTATTTATTTTTAAATTTAAATTTATATAGAGGAATTTAAATGATTTGATAATAATTTAGTGAAACAGTTAGTTACATCAAAATAATTTGTTTTTATTTTTGGATCAGATTTATTGATGCAAAGTTACATTGTCTTTTGTCTTTTGAATTAGAAACAATTTACTTATAAAAAAAATATGAAATTTATATGTGAATTACACTTCGATATAAAAAAATAGAATAGAATTATTACATTTACTTTATTGGCGAAATTGGAAAAATTCAGAGTAACAAACTGAAAATTAAATGTCATTCTTCTAAAATAAGCTGAAAATTAAATGTATAGTAGAAAATTAAACAAAAAATTAAAAAATATATAGATTTAAAAACATATGCTAATAATATACTATAGTCACAAAACAACAAAACCCATAATGATTTGAAAAGTACATACATACATACATAAACGGGATTTGGTTTAAGTATTTAATACTCATTTCCAACTACAGCCTATTGCTGCCTTTCCGTTACACTACGCCACACATCTCGATTTAGAGCGTCATCAGCTTCTAGGTTACGAGCTTCCATTGCTTCCGTAACCGTTCCGTTCCAGGATTTTCTAGGTCTACCTCTCTTTCTTCTGCCCTGGGGAGCCCATTGAAAAACTCTTTTTGAACACCTATTCTCCGGCATACGCAGAACATGTCAAAACCATTTTAAGCTGGATTTTTCGATTCGATCTAGTACTGTTTCCTCCGATGCATTCATGATACGCCTGACCTCGATGTTTGTCTTTTTTTCCATCCTAGATATACCTGCACTTCTTCTAAGGTAGTCCATTTCAACAACTTGAATTTTGCGCTTCGCGTCTGCGCTCAGAGACCATAGCTCTGAACCATAGCAAAGAACTGACTCCACCAATGTTCTTCCAAGTCATTTTTTAGTTGTTGCAGACAAGTTTCGGTCCCACCAGAGGCTATTAAGACATCCAATAACTTGTTTGCTCTTCTGAATTCGGGTTTGTATTTCTTCTTTGCCCAAACCCCCGTTGTTGATAGTAGCACCCAGATATTTAAATTTGTCTACTTGTTGAATCTGGACGTTATCATTAATAAAGAATTCAAAACAAGCGTTGGAATTGACAGCTAAGTATTCCGTCTTCTTTAGGCTAACCTGAAGTCCCCATTTGTTGTATTCTTGATAAAGCCTCTTAGCACAGCTCTTAGTCATGAACTCTAGATCGTATGAGTCATGCGCAATCACGACCTGATCGTCTGCAAAGCTCAGGGTAAATAGTGTGTTGTCCTCAATGGGTATTCCCATACCTTGATATTTCGTCTTCCATTCCCTAAGGGCTACTTCGTAAGCGTTGAAGATCAGAGGAGATAAGCTGGCATCCTTGTCGCAACCCTTTTGTGGTGTTAATTGGATTAAATAGCCTGTGTCCCATCTTAACGTACGATTCGTTTTCTTTATATAGCTCTTTTATTATCTTAAGCAAGGGTCTATCTACTTCTAAGATATTCAAGACTTCCCATATCTTGCT